GTCCGGTTTGATTCAATTCAAATAAACCAAAATCAACTGGAATCCTTGGACCGGCTCAGAATTAGGTTTGGCAAAAAGAAGTCTTTGTAATTGCATAATGGTGGAAAAGATATGCTTATGTAACATTATAACACTGAACTTAAAAAGTCTTAAAATTCCTTATTTAGTTAATTTAATCCAATGCACAAAACAGTCTGTTCTCTAAATCCTACATAAATACAAAATGCTAGTCAGAACTATTAATAAAGACAGTAAAAAATGATCATTAGATTTTTTTAAAATCAAGTTGGAAATTATTTCATATGCCTTTAATGTCTTACTATTGGAGCTTTTGAATAACATATAAATCTAGAAGTAGCTGCAAAACTGCTTTTCAGAGAAAACATGTTTTGAGATTGTATTCTGTCTCTTTTGCTCTGTAAAGTAATGAAGGTATTGCAAATCAAAGCTCTAACAACAGTTAGAGCTTGCAGTGGTATTGCACCTCTAGTAAGTAGTAATGAATAGGGCTAACGCTGGATATATTGACCTGAAATGCACAACTGAAGAAAAATTAGAAGTCAAAATATTGAAGTTCTTTTAAACGTTTATTTATTTTTGAGACAGAGAGAGACAGAGCATGAGCTGGGGAAGGTCAGAGAGAGAGGGAGACACAATCTGAAACAGGCTCTAGGCTCTGAGCCATCAGCACAGAGCCCAACGTGGGGCTCAAACCCACAGACTATGAGATCATGACCTGAGCCGAAGTCGGACTCTTAACCGACTGAGCCACCCAGGCGCCCCTGAAGTGTTTTTTTCTACACGATGACAATTTCAAGGTACTTGGAGGTAGTCACATAGTTATGTAATATTTACTTTTTTTTTTACAAGAATACAAATCTGCCTATCTGACAAAAAACTAAAACACTGAAAGCTGTACCATGTGTGTGTATGTGTTATTTAAAAAAAAATGAACTAAGTAAATTTGAAGATCTAATTAGCTTTATTCAACATTCACGAATGGGACAGTATCCCATCTAGCAAAAAAAAAAAAAAGGGATCAAAAAAAAAAAAAAAAAAAAAAAAAAAAATAAAAATAAAAAAAAAAAAAAAAAAAAAAAAAAAAAAAAAAAAAAAAAAAAAAAAAAAAAAAAAAAAAAAGGGATCTCCAAAAAGCTGTAGAAAAGGAAAGACTTTTAAAGACAGAAAAGGGATGGGAAAAAGAAGTTTATTAGCAAAAAAATGTGTTTCAGGCAAGCTACCCTTTACAAGCAGTAAGAGATCTGTTGGGCAGATCTCATCCCTAGTGTTGACCTGGTACTTTTCAAGTTAAAGGTTACATTTTGAGAGATGCAGAAACTGCAGTTAGGTTCAGTATTAAGTCTTGGTTTACTGACTTGGGACCTAGCGTAGGCGACACCACTTTGGTCTGTTGTCTCCTTTTTGACAGCATATAGATGAAAATTTCTTCAATATTGGAGAATACACAGAATCAGCTAATCAGTCTCATCATTCCTAGACACATAATGACTTGGTTAGTCACCACAGTTATGCATTGCAGGGATTTTGATCAGTTCTATTTTAAAAAAGCTCTTCCACTGAAATTACTAGTTTGAATATTTTCTTGCCATATATTTGACTGATATTAGGATGAAATTAATTGGTTGCTTTGGTTCATCTAGGAATCTAACACACACTGGAACTTAACAAAATCAGTTTTTGGCATCTCCAAGCATTTTTCAAAGTGGTATGAATTGGCCAACAATTTATTGATGACAAAGAAGTGCTAGATTCCAAAACAATGGAGGTTGAAAAAATCAGTTTTTGTGAATGGAAAACAAAACAATGTAGGTACAGAACCTTTTCGTGAAGGCAAAAAATGGTGAAGTGGAAATTGCAGGAATTCGGTTTAGTTTAGAATAGCAGATCATATGGCAAGCAGAATCCTATTTGAAGAGAAAAGTGTGGTCTTAGTTATACACGTTAAAGGATTTTAGCTTTCATTTGAGTGCATTTTTATGCTAGAATTTTAGGTGTATCTACTAGATCACTGTGAATAGGGCACAGAATGCTTTCATAGACTGTTTTGTGGCATGTCTGTATCTGCCAAATTCAACTTAATTGCCTTAGATGTTTTGCCATATAGATAGGCCAAAGTAAACCATAGGGATTGTACTTCTTGTAATACTAATTACATTTATTTTTTCACTGCTTAAAGCTGGTCATAATAGTCATAAAATCTAACTTTTCCCTATTTTGGATAATGCCAAACTTTTGTGCCAAATAGCTTTGTTAGCTTAACACCAGAGATTCCACAGGAATGATTTACAGTAGCTCGTATAGACTGAAGTGCTTTTAAATGTTAAGCTAAGTTACAAAGACAATTGAGAAGTCAAACAGAAGGGGGAAGTTTACCTATCTGTCTGTCTGTCTGTCTGTCTGTCTATCTGTCTACCTAGTAATCCTTATAGTTATCAACACACAATGCACACACATACACCCACACACAACACACAATGCACACAATGCACACAATATCAACACAAATGCACACACATACACCCACATATACAAAGGAAAGTGAATTGAGTTTTTTAAATCACAAAGACATATAAGGGCATAGTATATTTTGGGGCTGTCATTGTCTCTAGTCACTCAATTGGCTTTAAATAAGGAAATACTCCCAAACTGCAATAGAGTCTACATTACATTATAAGGTGTTTTCATTCGCTTGAATTTACTAAGGTTATATTTTCACCTAAGAATTAATGTGGATGGGCTAAAATTCTCCAAGAGAATTTTCTTCAAAACCCAAATTTTATTTCATCTATCTCGGAAAATCAGCCTCTATTATGAGTTAACATGCTCTATTACATTAACAATGATGTGTAAATCCAAAATAGCATTAAAGAATTTGAGCCACTTAAAAATTGACAATTCTCCCAGTTGAATAATCAACAGTATTGCAAGAATTAGTAGAGCTCTAATGCTCATTTAAATCTAGAATTTCAAGAACCACTCAGGGACAGCTTGTGATGAAAGCATATGGAAAGGAATAGGGAGAAAGTTGCTTCTTTTTGTCAGCTGACTCCACGGAAGGTAAGTTTCATTAGACCTATGCTGCAGGGAAATAAACAAGTCTTTTCACAGCTTGGCAGCTGTCCTTAAGATTTTAGTTTCCTCGTTAACTCAGGATTCAGAAATGAGAAATAGAATTTAAATCAAAATCAAAATTTGTAAGGAAAAACCAAAACATGTTCTTGAGAAGAATTTCATATGGTGAAATATTGGGCAGAAATGTGAAGCTCATCGTTCTCTTTTAAGGATTTTTTTTTTACTTTCCATATTTTGCAATTGATTTCAAGTTGGTATATCCTTTAACCTCTAAAAGTTATTTAAACATATCATTAGTTTAGACATGAGAATTAAAAAAGCAATAATAAGATGATAACAAATGATGGTGTAAGCTAGAAAATTAAAACTTTAAATTTCACTTCTCTTTTGCATTATCTACTTAGGTATCTTTGACAAACATATCTCAATGGTCTGAGATTTATAGCTTTTAAAAAAGAAAGTGCAGGGGCGCCTGGGTGGCTCAATCGGTTAAGCGTCCAACTTCGGCTCAGGTCATAATCTCATGGTTTGTGGGTTCAAGCCCTGTGTCGGGCTCTGTGCTGACCACTAGTTCAGAGCCTGGAACTTGCTTCAGATTCTGTCTCCCTCTCTCTCTGGCTCTCCCCTTCTCTCTCTCTCTCTCTTTCTTTCAGAAATAAATAAAACATTAAAAAATTTAAAAAAGAAAGTGCATTCTACAGTTATAGCTAATAAATTTGGTGTATATTAAATATTATAGGTAGTGAGCATATATGCATATCTCTTACTAGATCTCAAACTCAGTGACAATCAGTTTACTAGAAAGTCATATCAAATGATTTTTAGAAAGAAGCACAAGTTATTGATTCAACATACGTTCCAAAATAAAAATAAGTATGGTGTGCTTATGACAACAGATGTATATATAAAAAAAAACAAGATGATTTTAGTTGACAATCTGTTCAATGATTCAGCAGTATCATGTCGTTCCCCCCAAAATGTTTATATTATATAATTTTGGCCTGCACTGAAAATATGAGTCTATAATGTTTAGATAGTAATCCCAAACCTTCTTTTTTTTGTTGTTGTTTTGTTTTGCTTTTACTGTTTTTTGGCAAATTGTACCTACAATATAGAGTTCTCTGCTATGTGAGAGTGGTGGATTCAGGATAGCTGTAAAATTTTTGCCATTTCTTCCATTAAGAGGTAGAGTCTATCCCCCTTCCCTCTGAACCTGGAGTCACCCTCTAACATGTTTTGATCAAAAGAATCAAGCAGACATGACATTGTCTATCTTTCAGGTTGAGTCTTAGACCTGCAGATCCTACTTTGGGCACCCATAAAACACTTCATCTTGGAAACCAGAGGCCATGTTGTGAGAAGGCCTTACCCTGTGCAAAGACCATGTGGAAGGGTACTGAGGCACTCTTGCCTATATACCCAACTGAGCTCCAGAGTGTTGGCATTGGCTATCAGTCACAATATGGAGCCCTGTTGGATACACCAAACCAGTCCACCCCCTGATAACTGGAGTCCCAGCTGACTCCACATGAACCAGGATAACCATACAGCTGGTTCGTGTCAAACCATAGAATCATGAGGGGTATTTAAAAAAGTTGTTTTGTTTTGTCACTCATTTTTTAGTGATGATTAACTAATTTTCAATTTACCCATTACCAGTTTATTACATGATGATAGATAACTGAAGTGACCTTTAAGTATTGTAGAACAAATGGAGTATAGACAGGGAAGAGGTCGAAGTCTGTGACACCCACATGACTCATAAGTATCAGCATGGGCTCTGAGGTTACTGTTACTGCTCTCAGATTGGTGTCACAACGGCAGGAATCCTCAGCTTTGTTGCTTCAGGTCTTAGTGGCACAGTCTGTGAGTCAGTGTGTGTTCAGCATTCTAAAGCTCTTTGGAGACTTCAGTTCTTTTCTAAATCCAGGAATGGGGTTGGGACCTGAACAACCTGTCTAATACTTTTCAGGCCCTGTTTCTGTGACCTGACAAGGTTTCATGAACTTGTTCAACTAAATGGTGGTCTAGTCCAAATCGAGTAAGTCAGCAGAATCCACAAACCTTTCATTCAATTGACTTTTGAGTTACATGGTTCTCCATCCCATCAAGAGCTCTTGAAAATGTCACCTCTCTAGAGGCCTCTTGTAAAATAACCAAATGGTTTTTGTTTTGTTTTCAAGGGAGAGAGAGAGAGAGAGAACATGATGTAGGAAAAGGGGCAGAGGAAGAGAGAGAGAGAGAAAGAGAGAGAGAATCTTAAGCAGGCTCCATGCTTAGCACTGACCCTGATGTGAGGCTCGATCCCATGACCCCGGGATCATGACCTGAGCCAAAATCAAGAGTTGGACACTCAACCAACTGAGTCACTCAAGTGCTTCCCAAATGGTTTTATTATAGTCAGAAAAGGCTAAAGTATTCCAAAGTGTGTTTTATAAATGTCAAGTTCCCATCGGAACTTCCTGATAATGTAATACTGAATAGTTTAACGATGTTGTAAAAAAGGGAATAAGAAGCAAAGAGGGAAAGTATTATTAATTCTAACTTAAGTATTTTATGATTATTGGTTCATGTATTCATCAACTAGATTTTGTGAAGTTTACACATGAATAGTGTTAATATCTAGTTGTGGTGACAGACATATAAGCAGTTAACCCTAGTATAACTCAAGATGAAGTAAATGCTAAACAAAGGGACTTAAGCAACTTCCTTTGTCCACCCAGAGAAAAGAAAAATTAATTTTGACTTCAGAAATTGACTGGAGAAGATATAATAGGGTTTGAGGAAAGCTTCTTGAGAACAGACCCATAGGAGTTTGTTTGAGATATTAGGTAAGAAGTGTTGCTAAGCAATGAAAAAGGTAACTAAATTCCAGATTCAGGAAATGCAATGAAAAGAATGGAAAATACAGAGAAATTGGGGTACCCCTGGGTGGCTCAGTTAAGCGACCAGTTCTCGGTTTTAGCTCAGGTCATGATTGCACAGTTTCTGAGACTGAGCCCTACATGGGGCTCTGAGCTGACAGTGCAAAGCCTGCTTGGAATTCTCACTCTCCTTCTCTCTCTACTCCACCCCTACTCTTGCTTTCTCAAAATAAATAAATAAAGTTAAAAAATATATAAGGTATTTGGGAAGTTTGATATGAATAAAGAAATAGGAAGATAAATATGAAATGAGAAGATTGGAGCCAGGTTTCATCAGCCCTTGTTATGCAGTGTGGATATTTGGGGAGAGGGAGGGGATGGGTGTAAGGCATCAGGGGATATTTTCGGGGGAGCAGTTGGATGATATGACCAAATTGGCATTTTGGAAAGATAGCTGGTGACAGAATGGAGGATACTCTGAGGAGTGAATACCTGTGTAGCCTGTAGAATGTTTAGGAGGCTCCTGCCTCCTATAGTTCAATAGACAAAAGATGAAAATATGTAAGAGTGAGTGGGAATGAAAAAGACGATAACCATCAAAGACTACTTGACCAAACTTAAAGTTGATCGTGAAAGTGAGGATAGAAATAAATAACTTGGAAGCTTCTAACCTGAGTGGCTAGGAAGATAGTTTTGTAATTGTCCTGGTGAAGAAGATAGATTTTTGGTACAAAAAGGGAAGAGAGACATAATGAGAACATGCTGGTTTTACATGGAGATTATAAGCAAGCATTTGCAATTCATTTGTAAAACTCATAAGAAAAAAAATTGAGAAAGTGACATCAATTGAAGATATGTCTATTGTTGGAAGAAATTGAAGCTATGAGAAGAGAGGCAGGGTAAAGAAAAGGCTAGAATAAAACCTCTGGGGATCTGGTCAGTAAGGCAGAATGAGAAACTCAGGAAAGAGTAGTGTCATTGATCAAGGGAGAAGTTCATGGACACCCATGAACACCCATGGACATGGGTGATGCATAGAGCCAAATATTCTGAAAGGTTGCAGATGATCCAACCACAGAATTGGATCCCAAAATGAGAAGAGATGACTTAGGAACTCTAGGAAGCAAACAGAAATCCATACTTCAAGGTAATTAGCAGAGACAGGAAGAGAGCATTATACAAATGGGATCTGAGGTGCACAGATTATCAACATATACAACAGCTTCTTAGAAGAGATCATTATAAATGATCCAAAAATGCATCTGAGTGTAGAATAATGAATTTTAGATTAGTGATTTACAACATGAAGTATTGCACTTAAGGAATATGCTATTATAAATTCCTAAACGATATTGGCACTGCTAGAACAGAGAACACATGGACTATTTAGAAGCCACATCTGGGTAGTTTTCATTTATTTTCATCTAAAGTTATAGCCAAATTTATCTTAAACATTTTGTTGTATAATTTTATATGATTTGAATATGTATTGGGTACATCCAAGTGAAATGTATAATTAAAACTTGATTATGATTTCATTTAAAACTGTATTTCCTTAAAAAAAAAACTTGGAAATTAATTCATTATTTACACGTCACACACATTGTTAGTGGTCTTAAAATCCAATGTTCAAGCTCTTCATTCTACCTCTGTAGCATTAGAATGCAGAGTAAATAGAGTGTGTTTTTTCATTTTAATGCTTAACACTATTCATTAACCAAGAATTGTTTCTCATCCATGAAAGGATCACAAAGTTTCAAGCTTGTAAACACTAGGGCAATGACACAGCATTTTGATTTTTGATTTTTTTCTTGAAAGAAAGGCCTATAGAATCCCCATGTTTATAAAGAAAACAAAACATGAAACTGAGCAATACAAGCAAGTTACTTTCAGAAAGAGTTTATCAAACTCTCTGTACATGGCTTTCCATGGAGTTCAAAGTGCCTCTTCCACAGAGTCACTTCTGCCCATGGTATTTTAGCTAAATTCAAAGTAAGTAGCAGTTTCATTTTATGCAATAAATGTTTTGAAGGAAAAAGCTCTAGTTTTTACAGGTAGGTAGTTGTAGATCAATCGTGACCAAATATTCCAGCAAGTATCCCAAGAAGTCAAATCTGTGAAAGTGAGAGAATGCTTCCACAACAGTTTATAGTTCAACTGTTCTATTTAACTATAGTTGAAAAACTTGGGAAAATACCTCAAGGGAATCTGGATATTTTTCACTTGTTTGTGATTAAAAACAAATTTAAAAAAAAGTCTCTTTTAACTGAAGACACTTAATTAAAGCTAAAGGAGAAAGCTAACCACTTAACAGCAGGGGTACTCATGGATATAAATGCTTCATTAATTGAATAAAAGATGAGAAGTTAAACCTTTCCAAAAATATTGCTATGTGTTTCTGAACACATTTCATCAAGTGTATTTTTAAATCAGTTGTCAGGATAGTCTAAAGTGATACCTCCTATAGTCATGACTCCAAAATATTTTGAGATAATGCATCAAAATAAAGGGGTGGGATAGAAGTGAGAATACGACATTTTTTTGTTGTTATAGAGCAGAAGGAGCCACTGTCTGCTCATGTGTATAGCATATATTTCATTACAAAGCAAAAACATTCATTCATTCACTCATTCATTCACCCAACCATAATGATTTCCTACCTACAATGCTAGGGCACATGCTAGGTGCTAAGTATGCAGTAGTGAACAGCAAGGACACTCAACAACAGGCAGGTTCGATTTCATTTGATAAGTGCCATAAAGGAACTGAAGACAAAGTCCCTGAGAAAACCAAGGTGATGCAATTAATTCAGTCTTGGAAGGAAAAAGAACATTCTTCTGTGGTAGTTATTTTTATGCCTATACCTAAGAATTAAAAGGAATTAACCAGCCAAAGGAAAAGGGGAAAAAATGTCATAGGTAGTCTTAAAAGACTGTAGTGTATTACATTTTTTAAAAAAGGCTTTTAAGTTTATTTATTTATTTTTGAGAGAGACTGTGTGAACAGGAGAGGGGCAGAGAGAGGGGGAGAGAGAGAATCCCAAGCAGGCTCTGTGCTTCCAGCGCAGAGCCGATGTGAGCCTGAACTTACAAACCCAGAGATCATGACCTGAGCTGAAACCAAGAGTTGGACGCTTAACCGGCTGAGCCAGCCAGGCGCCCCGCATATTACAATTCTTAAGAGTTTGTTGGAGCAAAAATCGATTCGAATCAGTCAGTACCAGACCCAGAATTGGTTAGCAGAGCTCCACTGACAGGAGCTAGTGGCAAGACTTTGAGAGGGAAGACATGGAAGTCAAGCAAGGAAATTACTTGATTGGCTATAGCTTAGGCAACTTGCCTTATTGGAGCAAGGTTTGTTGGCTGTTTGTGACTGGTTGTCCCTAGCTTTTGGTACCTTAACCTTGAGGCATTTATGGGCTTCCTCATTTAACTACTTTCACAGCAGAAAGAATGATATGTAGAAAAACCAGAAAGCAGTGAGACGTGGGCTTTCTGGAACTGCAAGTGGCTCCACGTGGCTGGACAGCAGCAGAGTAAGGGATGCTGATGAGAGAAGATCAGAGATAATGTACAGGCAGGGGCCGTGCAATGATAGGCCTCATAAACTAAGCTCATGAGAATGGATTCTACCTGAAAAATAATAATGGGTGTAATCCTTGTGAACAACTGTAAACTTTGAGAAAAGCGATTATATTTTCAAAATATCATTACATAAACTATATAAGAAACACAACTAAGTGTACAAAATCCATTTTTTACATCTACCCAAAAAAAACAACAATGGACTGGAAATATTACCAATACTATCCCCATGTAAGCTGAGTTCACAACATCACAGATTTCATGCAATGGTTGTTTTCAGGATGATGGTACTCATCACCCAGGGCACAGTCTGGCTATTTAACTCTAATGATACAATTTTTAAAGGCTAAAAATCATTAATAATAAAATCAAATAGTTCAGAACAGAGTATTTCTAAGTGAGACAGAAAGTCAGTTTTGTCTAAAGAATATAATTTTACCATATATGGGAGGGAAATCTTGCAGAACTGAACACTATGGCAGAAACAACATTTTACATGAAAGTGATACGATCATCTTCAGTCCCCCCCCCCCTAAAAAAAAGGGATTTGGTAAAGGTGATAATGGCAGTGTTAGCAACATCATATGCATCAT